CAAAACCCCAAAACCCCAAAACCCCAAAACCCCAAAACCCCAAATAAACCACAAAAACAGTAAAACTTATAAAAATTTATCAAATGGCTGATCCTGTGCCTACTGAACCCACTCCTTCAGAAAGAAGTGGGTCTGCGAGCAACTGTCCTAGTTCAAGGATAGATTTAGGTGGTGATGGGGTCGTGGAGGAAGAAGATGGAGGTCAGAGAGGTCAAAGAGTAGAGGTGGAGAAGGTAGAAGATGAAGTTCAGCAACAAGGGGAGGGGATAAAACCTCAATCCCACAGAACCAGCTCCCCATCTCTCAACGAAGAATGTGAACAATGGAAAACTAACATCCAATATGAAGACACCGAAAAGTAAGAACTTAACTAGTAATGAACTTTAAACAAATTTAATCCTTCGAGCACAAGACTTTAATGCTAGGTTAGAGCTTTTAGTGAGAAGTTACTGCTGGGGAAACAGGAAAGTAGAAGGCTTTGGGAGAGTAGGGATGGGCGTTTATGAGTATGGTAAATTAGCATCAATGAAGATAATGGGGTAGCTTTTCAATTTTCAGATCTTTCTGACATTTAATTAAAAATTTGTGAATGCAAACTAGTAAAAATTAATTTTAAATCAAACTAATTCCTCATATTTTCAGGGATCTTTTATTTACTTCCCTTTCGTTGGAAATTTCCTATAAAAATTATCCTAAATTGTTTATTGCACGTTTTGACATATATATGACTGAGAGTCTAAATGTATCTATGAGTATTATCAAACCGAGGGAAGGTTTTTGTTGACTCCTGAGTGGGATAAAATTAAGCTTAGCTAAGTTAAGGCTTTATCAGTCTAGCATCGAGACTCCTTTAACCGATGAAATTAGAAATTATAGCAACCCTTTTAATATCTTGTTTTATCTTTGTAGGAAGTCTTACTTTGAATATTAAGAATCAAAATTTTTAACTTGGCTTTTAGACAATATCACATGTTCGATGACCTTAATCAATATGACCAGAATGAAAAATTATTCATTGAAACCTTTGAAGATGAATTATCAGGTTACGAAAATCAAGATATTGTGATGAAAGAGGGTCCAGATTCTTCATCTGATGTGGACTTCGAAGATTGAGAATATCTGCATCAGGAATATACAGATGAAGAAATTTTCACTTTAGAGAAAGTGGGAATAAGTTTCAGAGAAAAGCTCCCTAAAAGTCATAAAAATGGTCAGAAAAATGTTCAGAAAGAAGGTCTTTCTGATGTTGAAAAGGAACTTCTTGATCTACATCACAATTTGGCAGGAAACAAGCAGAGGATAATAGATCATCTCATTCTTGAGCCTCATTTGCTCCTCTATGTAATTGTGCAAGTAACCTTTAGTTTGGGAAGCAGAAAATAACCAATGAAGAGCTCGGCAGGAAACTTAAAATCCTGAGAGCAAAACACCGAAGAATAAATGCAGCTGTAAAAGTCTGAGCAATTAGTGCTCAATAGATGTGAAGGAGTAGGCTGAGACGATCAAGGAACACAATCACCATATTGTGATTTGGAAGGTGTTAGGCATTCAGACAATTCTTAAAAGTCCAAATGTCTGAATACCTTAATTTTGAAGGTGAAAGGAGAGATTGGACAGAGACACAAATTCTGGCTAATCTTTTGTCATTTTATCGATTGTTGTATTATGATTCCTTAATCTTTACAATGGCTTAGTGGTTATTTCACTAAAAAGAATAACTATATCTCTTTATAGTATGATTTCTATGATAAAGAAATATCCAACAAAATGCATTTTAGATTTAGCTATCACAATAGGCCTAGCAGCAATATTGATAGGCATAACAAAACGACAAAAGTAAGAATACCTAAACTGTATTTATAAATATTTCTAATATAAGAGGATTTCATTACCCATCGAATAAGCCTCCTAGAGTACTCTTCTTGGTCATAATTTCCTTGAATCCTTTACCTTTTATATCTTCTTTCTTAATGCCTAGCTTATCTCTGACCTACATATAGATGACGATCCCTGACCTAATCTTGAAGTTCCCATTTCTGTACCTCAGGCTATAAACTTTAATAAGATCTTTCAATTCTAAAATTTCCAAAGGGGTTTTGGGGTTTTGGGGTTTTGGGGTTTTGGGGTTTTGGGG